TTAGGCAGAACTACTGAGAGGAGACAGGAAAGAAAATACACATTAACAATTAACTTATTCCATTCTGGGGATTCTCTGGACTAACTGGTTTCAGTTTCAGAGGCAAAGGCGCTGTTAAAATCCCTGCAGGTTTTCAATACATTCCCACCTGTTGGCGTAGCGTAGTGTGTTGAGTGTGTTCTCACAGGATGTCATACCAGGAGATATTGTTGCTATCTATTAGAATAAGGTCATAAGAATTAGGATATAACTGATCAACGTAAAAGTTACTGGATTTGACAAGTCTGAGAATTACAGTGAAAATACAGTGAAAAATAACTGACCATACAAGTGCGTGAAGTCTCCCCAATAAAGGAGTCTCTCAAGACCTGTGTTAGTTTACTGGCTCTAAATGGAGTGTGTGGTTTGTTACGTCCAAGTGCCCTGATGCACTCCTAGAATAAAACAAAGACAGACACGATGTAATTATCAAAATGGGTTAGTCAATAATTTCATTTTTTTGTGTTAGCCAAAGACAACTGCCAACAGACCTTAAGTGCCAGAAGGCTTTTGTTAATCTCAGCTCCCTCCAGACGTGTCTGACGGTCTGCACTCGACGTATCAGCCCCTCTCTCATTTCCTGCGAGGTCGATTAGGGAGAACTTTCCGTGCATCTTCCCCTTTCGCCGAAGAATAATCTGGAATACGGCGTGGCTGCGGGATGAGTGAGCATTAGCTGACGTCTGCCCTGATGTTCTAGGGGGAAAAAAAGGAAAAAAAAAGAAAAATCAGTTGTAGGCAACAAAAGTCTTGGTCAACTGGAACAGCAGTTTCATAAAATAGCAACTTCCTGTTGTTATACCTGCAGCTGTTGCCCACTTCTATGAGTTTCAGGACGTCCTCTGTGCACTTCACCTCCTTCTCCTGAAGCCCCACTACCTGCACTTGCTGTTTTCCATCCTCGAGCACCCTCAACTTAGCTTTACGATTGAGCAGGTCAAAAACCTACGCCATGTCCAACAAAGACACTAGTTAACATCGGAACTTTGTGTGTTTGTGTGTGTGTGTGT